AGGACTACCTCAATTTTTGATATGAAGAATCCTATTTATTTGCTGGATTGGTTGATTTGCTCTTAGGACTTACATATGAAATTCTGAGTGGCCCACATACCCTTGTAGGACAAGAAAGTTAACAACGTTAAATCAGAGGAACAAAAAAAGCAATTGCAAAAAATAAAATTGTTGCAGTAGCCTATGCCAAGAGGAATAGAATAGAATAGAACAGAACAGAACAGAACAGAACAACATAGTTGGAAGGGATCTTGGAGATCCTCTAGTCCAACCCCGTTTAGGCAGGAAACCCTATACCATTTCAGACAAATAATTATCCAACATCTTAAAAACTTCCAGTGTTGGAACATTCGCAACTTCTGAATGCAAGTTGTTCCACTGATTAATTGTTCTAACTGTCAGGAAATTTCTCCTCAGTTCTAATTTGCTTCTCTCCTTAATTAGTTTCCACCCATTGCTTCTTGTTCTACCCTCAGGTGCCTTGGAGAATAGTTTGACTCCCTCTTCTTCGGGGCAACCCCTGAGATATTGGAAGACTGCTATCATGTCTTCCCTAGTGCTTCTTTTCATTAAACTAGACATACCCAGTTCCTGCAACCATTATTCATATGTTTTAGCCTCCATTCCCCTAATCATCCTTGTTACTCTTCTCTGCACTCTTTCTAGAATCTAGAATAGCAAAACACAAAATCAATTCTCAAATGGGAGATCTAGCAAAACTGCTTCCATGACCTCCTGAATAGCCACAACAGTTGGCCTCCCCCCCCCAAAAAAACAACCCAACACTTTATATTGGATGCAATGCTTTCCATGGGAGGACTTCAACCGAAAGTCTTGTCTCCATTATCACTTTAGATTTCACTTCCTCAGAAAGGATGTTGGAAGAAATGTCCATCTGGGTTCAGTTACAAGTGGGGAAAAAGATACTGGAAACTTGGAGGCTGTTTGGAAAGATGGCTTAATGGTGGGCAGGATCACATGGCTTGGAGCTCCTGGGTGAAAAGGGAAGAGATGCTGAGAGTCGCTGGGTTTTATGCCCTCTCTGGGCTTTGAACTTTCTGGGGCACAGGAAGAGAATCCTGATTGGTTGCTCTCAAAGGTCATAGCTAGCTTTGTGGGTTGCCTATGTGCTAAGTTTCGTTGAAACTTGGTGGGTGGTCCAATGAAGGGCAATGAAATGGCTCTGCCTGAAGGAGGTAGATCTTTGTGATGTAGAATAGACTGGCACATGCCTTAATTGCCCATTGACAAAGGGGGGGATATTAAGAGAGTGAGTCTGTTTCCTGCCTAAAACATGTTTCTCCATTTTGTCATCCAGGGAAAGATAATATTCTGCCTTTTTAATATTTCCTTAAATATTTCATTTTTCTAGGAGAGGGGTGGGTGCTAACTTCCTACAGGGAGAAACCCAGATCTACTCTTCCAGATCTTACACCACGTCTCTTTGGTCAGCTTCCCATATGCCTGGAATGCCCCTACAATCACAGCTAATATTTACATTTAGATAGTTCCCGAAGAGGAGGACTTAGGAAGATTTTTTTCAATTATAACTCATCCTGTGAAGCAGTTCAGCTGTAGAGGTTTTTAGTAGACCACAAACGGCTTACTGAAATGAGGAGTAAATATGCAAGTGGAAGCTATTTCAAGCCTAACTCAACTACATCAGCAAAAACAATGTGGCATAGTAGGGGAAGAGATAGTAGTAAAGGAAGTGGAAAGTCTGTGAAGAACAACCTGCACTTTTAAAGGTACATGGCATATTATTTTTCAGTCAGCCATGGGCTTTAGGTCTTAGAGCAGATATTAGGAATCTGTAACAGTGTAGAGTTTATTTTATTTATTTTATTTTATTTAGTTTGTCAAACATGTACAAAGTAAGAGGTATAAGTATAAACATGGACATGGACAGAGAAATGAGTACAAATAAATGGGGACATTAGGACAGGGATGTTAGGCACGCTGGTGCACTTATGTACACCCCCTTTACGGACCTCTTAGGAAAGGGGTGAGGTTCACAGTAGACAGTTTGAGGTTGAAGCTGTGGGGGTTTGAGGATGTAACAACGAAGTCAGGTAGAGCATTCCAGGCGTTGACCACACTGTTGCTGAAGCCGTATTTTCTGCAATAGAGTTTGGAATGGTTTACCTTGAGTTTGTATCAATTGTTTGCCTGTGTATTATTGAGGTTGAAGCTGAAGTAGCCGTTTATCGGTAGGACATTGTAGCAGACAATTTTGTGTATTATGCTTAGGTCAGTTGTTATGAGTTATTATGAGTTGGACAGTATTATATATTTTGTAAATATCCCAGTAGTTCCAGCCAGATCCCAAAGACACCTATATGTTGTGTTACAAAATCTTTGTGGATTCTATTTTAACAAACAATTTCCAGCATGGCATGTTGTTGCAAATTATATTATTATAAGAGTGATCCAGGAAGCAAATACTGTATCCAAAAGTATATGAGGTGGTGTAATGTAAGGGCAGAACACTGAGTTCTGTTTTCACAAAGGTTCTTTTTATATAGAAATTCTGTAAATTTTGAAGGTGGTGATATATCACCTCTCCTTTACTTCCCCCCCCCTCTCTCTCACACAAACACACACCTTCGTTCCCCCCCCCTTATGTTCAACAGTGTCTGATTCTTGGAGAGTGCCAGCTCAGGTCCCTGTCGTTTTTTGGGCAAGTTTCTCCTGATTTCTAGCCTGCTACCTTACCCACACACGAACCTGTCTCTCAATTCCTGGTGTAAACAAAATTTGGAAGAAATGTCCATCTGGGTTCAGTTCCAAGTGGGGAAAAGGATACTGGAAACATGGTGGCTATTTGGAAATATGGTTTTAATAATGGACAGGATCCCATGCCTTGAAGATGTTCACCACCCTCCAATCCTTCCGCGCTGCTGTAAAGATCTGGCTGTCCCGGCTGGCCTGGGGTTAAGATTATAGCCCCACTCGAATGGTGTGATTGTTGCGTTTTTTCTCTTTTAATATGCTGTATTGTTTACTGTTTGTTGTTTCCCCCCTCCCTTTTGAATTGTGAGCCGCCCTGAGTCCCCTTAGGGAAAAGGGCGGCATACAAATAAAGGCAAAAGTAAAAAAAAGTAAATGTTGGGTGAAGAAAGAAAAAAGGGGGGAAGAGATGCTGAGAGTCCCTGGGTTTTATACCCTCTCTGGGCTTTTGAATTTGAGCTTGTATTCTGATTGGTTGTCAGACTCCCATGGGGCCATGCAGGGGCAAGTCTGTAGACTGTCCAGGCTTGGTTGAGCCTTGCGGGGTGATGTAATCTTTCCAGGTGTCATGTGATGAGATGGGCAGAGAGCTAATCCTACCCTTGTTGGATCTTGGGTGAGGGAATTTGCCTATGAATAGATCTAGCTATCTCTTTATCTCTTAAGTGTGGGCATCTTCTGTGGGCTATTGAGGATGGGGGGGCTATTAAGAGTAGTCTGTTTCCTGCCTAAAAACGTGTTTCTCCATTTCTCATCCAGGGAAATATAATATTCTGCCTTTTTAATATTTTCTAAAATATTTCATTCTTCTAGGAGAGGGGTGGGTGCAAACTTCCTTCAGAAATATGGATGATCTCAATCATAAGACAAAGGAAGAAAGAAAAAAGACTCCAAAGTCGTCCCAGGAATCAAGTAGCTCAAACTCCAATCCCTTTACCACCAATGACAGACAGCAATGAATGCAGAACTGCTTTCCCTTTGGGAAGTTGTAGCACAACTTCTCATTTGTGGTAAATTATACTTTCTATATACCGTTAGGCAAAACGTTTCCAGGAGAAAAGGCTACAAAATATGCATGTGGGCCGGGGTGGTTCCGGCTGCTGCTACTCCTGGTTCGCTGAGAGATGCACTTGATGTGTGCTATGCGCGCATGCGCAGTACTAAAAAAACCAAGATGGCGGCGCCTATGGCATTGTTGAAAGAACCAGTTTGGGGGGTGCATGGCAGGCCAAGTTACTACCTACTCAGTCTGAACCGGCAGGAACCCACCTCTGATGTGTGCATTTTATGTCAGCCATCGTACTATATGTGTCTCTGAGCCACCAGAAAACTGCACCAGCCATGTCTTTATTGCTTATTGTGACATGTTTAGGTCATGCTAATATATTGGATTCCTACCATTAGCAATTTTACTGTTGAGAGGGCCCTTCCACAAAACAAAGGACAGCTGAGGCAGCATGAAAAAAGAATTAATTTGCTATTCTGTATATCCTCTTCCCCAAAAAAACAAGACCTCCCCTGATAATAAGCCCAATTGGGCTTTTAAGTGCATGCACTAAAATAAGCCCTCCCCTGAAAATAAGCCCTCCCCAAAAATATTGCAACACAGCAGCAGCCATGAGGTGACCACACTCGCCGCCTCCTGTACCTCAAAAATAATAATACCTCCATGAAAATAAGGCCAAGTGCTTGTTTTGAGGGTCAAAAGAAAATAACACCCTGTCTTATTTCCAGGGAAACACGGTAGTATTTATTTTAGATTAAGGGAACCACTGAGGATGCCTTCCTTCTGCTTCCTCCTTGGAAGGCTGAAATTTTGGAGCTTTTTGAGGGGGGAGGTTACATTTTGGTCAAAGCAGACCTGAGATTTAGTTTATTATTTTCTTACTGAACAATGCAAGTCTTGGAAAAATACACAAAATGTCTTGGCTTCAGTCTAAACAGTGGTGCATACGTTTCAGAACTTGAACATCAATAGTGTGTTCCGCAAATATAACAGGAAGAGAGAGAGATTATGGTAGGCAAGGCAAGGAAAGATCTAGTCAGCAAAGCGACACTTGTCTGCAATCAACGTCTTGAAATCCTCTACACACCACAAGTGTGAAGTAAAAAGTTTAGCATTGTTAGCCATACAGGAAGCTAAGCGCTGGGTTATCTCTAACCAGCGATCAGAAGCCTCAAACCAGGAAAGTCTTCGAATTGGCTGCAGCGTTTTGTGAACGCTGCTGCAGAAGGGACTTTTCTGACTCTGCTTTCTTTCTCCTTTGCAGGATGGCAAGGGAAATGTGAAGTCCATCATGGCGAAGTTTAATAAAAACGCAGCTGAGGACGTTCGTTGCCATCAGGTCAGAACTGGGGGGCACCCTCCGATGGCTAAAAAAGCTGCCTTTGAGAAGTTTGCCCAGCTTGAAAACGCGGGTCTGCCTCCCAAACCCAACAGCTTGCACAAGCCTGGATCACTTAAATTGCCTCCAGGCGCAAAACCTCTTCACGATGCATCGGGCAAGGATTTTAAAACACCACCTTTGCAAAGCAAAGTGAAGATGCTAGCCGAGGCTGCTAGCCGAGAAGCTAATGAGAAGACTACCTATCCAAAGCCTTTGGTTCCCAAGATTTCTGAAGGACTAAGAGAAGAAACCAAACCAGTGTTCCCACGGATTCCTGAGAAGAAGCTACTTGGCTCTCCTCCTCAGAAGAGTGAACCAAAGCCTTTAGAGCAGAGATTGTTCAAACCTGAACCCCGAGGGAGTGAAGCAAAGCCTGTCTTTCCCACAGTCGCTGGGGTTAAAGAAAAATTCAACAGTGCTGCACAGGAAAACGCCAAGCCTCCTTTTCCAAAGCCACCTGTTAAGCAAAAACCAAATCAAAGTTTCAGCCAAGGGGAAGAAGTTTCCAACAAAAGTGCTTGTTTCAATCAGGTGTCACCAAGTTCCAGCGGCCTCAAGTCGAAAGTTGGTTCCATCCGACCCCATCCAACCCCTCCACAGGACAAGAGCCGAAACGAAGCCAAGCCCATCAGCCCTTTCCCACCTTTGAAACATGTCAACAACGAGAACAACCTGCCTCAAATCCCCCCTAAACCTGCTGGGCAGCTGAATGAAGAGGCAAAACCAAAACCCATCAAGAATATTTTCCTACAAAACAGACAAGAAGATTTTGGATCTGCTTCTGGTACCATTGCTGCTAAATTGGCCAATTCATCTCAAACAGTTAAGGCAGGACCTTGGGCCAATAATACTGGAAAAGAAGAGAAAGACAAAGACAAGAATTTGCCCAGACGAAAAACACTACCTTCAACAATTACATTGGGACCAGCCCCAAACAAGCCTAGCAGGCCTCCGACAGTTGACCTGGAAAAATTCAGGAAAAGTCATGGGGAAGGTAAGTAATGTGTCTGGATTTATGGTTGATTTTATAGTTGGCAAAAGATTTTCTGTGCTTAAAGATTATTTGCGAGATGGTCCTATGGTTATTCAATTTAAATGTGAATCTTCACATCTTCCTGTACAACTTCAGGATTTGCAGCCTTAAATATTTGAAGGCATGTGGTTGGGGTAATTATTATTTGCTATTAGATGCTGCTGGGATTCTGTTTCAACTTGTACTGAAGTGTGGACATGTTCCAGAAATATGACAGAGTTTTGAGAAGGTCCAAGAAGATGTATAGTACTTAATGTTCCTCATCAGCTATTGTTTTCTCTCAAGTCCCTCTTTTATTTATCTTTCCTCCCCATGAAAATCCTTCTGCTCATTTTCTTGCTTTTTGAGCTCTATTTCATTGTTGTTGTTAGTTGCAAAGTCATGTCTGACCCATCGCAACACCATGGACAACCTTCCTTCAGGCCTTCCTGTCCTCTACCATCCCCCAGAGTCCATTTAAGGTCATGCCAACTGCTTCAGTGACTCCATTCAGCCACCTCATTCTCTGTCATCCCCTTCTTCTTTTGCCCTCAGTCTTTCCCAGCATTAGGCTCTTCTCCAGTGAGTCCTTTCTTCTCATTAGGTGGCCAAAGTATTTTGAGTTTCATCTTCAGGCTCTGGCCTTCTAAAGAGCAGTCAGGGTTGATCTCCTCTAGGACTGACCAGTTTGATTGCCTTACAGTCTGAGGGACTCACAGGAGTCTTCTCCAGCACCAGAGTTCAATTCTTTGGTGCTCAGCCTTCCTTATGGTCTAACTTTCAAAACCATACATTGCACCTGGGAAAACCATAGCCTTGACTATACACACTTTTGTTGGCAGGGTGATGCCTCTGCTTTTTAGTATGCTTCATACAAAGTGATCTAAGAGGGTAACTTGGAGGAACAACAATGTGACCACAACATTGCTAAACATTTCCTTCTCTCCCCCATCCCACACATTGTGGATGTCACAACATTGTTGTACTGGCTTACTGCTTCAACAGTAATATTCCATATGTATTGAGATAATCTCTATTCTCAAGCACAGGTAGAAACTCCATCTGTACAAAAGGGATACATTTTATATGATGCAATATTATGTTTACTTCTGCCTCTATTTTAGGGATGTGCGGGAAAAAATATAGGCTATGGCCCATGGTGTTGTGAAGAGTCTGACACAACTTAGCAACTGAACAACCAAAATAAGCATAGAAACAAGGTGTAAGAAGCGGCTACGGTTATCCCATTAGGGTTTCTTAGCAGCTGAGAGAAGGAGATATATCTTTTTGGATCTGCTTTTTCCTAATTTGGAGTTTTAGATTTATGAAACCCATGATCTCTAGAAATTATACATACAGACTAACAGGTAGAAATTATATTTCCTTTGCAAGCGTAAGGCAACACACATTGGAGAATCCCCTTATTTTACCTTCACATTCACACTGTGTGAGAGAGAGACCCAGACCTAAGATTACCCAGTGAACAATGGCTGTGTAAAGACTCAATTTTGTTTTTCCCAGTCCCAGTTCTACATCTTAAATGTTACATCACAATTGGTTTTTTTTTATACCAAAACAGTTTAGAGTTACTGACAGGACTATCTAGGGAGAAAAAGGATTTGGCGGAAAGGGTGTCAGAAGAGTTTGCATAGTCTTGCCCGTGGTACAGAGGTGGATTTCTACCAGTTTGCACCAGTTTGGGAGAACCAATAGTGGTAATTTGGCCTGGGTTGCAGAACCAGCAGCAGCAACCCAGGCTGGCCACGCCCACAAACAGGTTCCCAGTCTCCACTGCCATTGCCAGCATGTTTTTTATTAGTTTTTCATGGTCTTTGCGCATGCACCAAACAATTTACAATGAACTGTACACGCAGGTGAAGTGAACCGGAACCAAAGGCAGTAGGAACCCACACGGGCCGTGGTACCATCTTAAAAAAAGCACATGACTATATGCACTATACAATGATATACACTATATCGCTGTAAAATATGTAATTAATGTGTAGATTTCACACCTTTAATGTAGCATGATCTTCAGTTAGTAAAAAAAATGGTCTATCCTCTAAATATTTATTCAAACATCATCTTTTCTTTCTTTGTTCTTTATTTTTTATTTTTTAGTTTATGCTATGGTTTTTATTATGGTTTTGCTATAAAATTTCTAAAATTGGAAGTCCACCAAGAGTTTAAACAAGTAGCATGAGAAATATGTGTTTATAACATTCCAGTCTTAGGGAATTATGAAAATAGCAATAGCTGCAACTGTTAGTACCTGCCTTTAGTAGGAGGGAAGGAGTCTTAACCTCACCTCCACACAAAGGTACTCAAACACTATTCCAGGATAACACGCTGCAAGAAAATGATATGAGCAATAAAGCTTGTTCCTTGTTGCTATTTTTGAGCTTATAATTATAAAAATGTGACAGCATATTTTGTGCTCACATTTAATTTAATCCTGGTGCTATGAAAACGCTTATGAAAGCTATATTTTTTTATTCCATTCGGATAGCATTTTACTTTTCTGTTGTCCTGTTTCGCCTATATTTTTAACATTTCTGCTTGATAAAATTATTTTTAATTGGATAGCATTGATTGACCATACAGGTAGTCCTCAGCTTACAACCACAATTTGAACCCAAATTTTCAAAATGTTTCAAGTGAGACATTTGTTAAGTGAGTTTTGCCCCATTTTACAACCTTTCTTGCCACAGTTGTTAAGTGAATCAATGCAGTTGTTAAGTAACACAATAATTAAGTGAAACTAGCTGCCCTATTGACTTCATCAGAAGCTTGCAAGAGGTAATCACATGACTCTGGGACACTGCAACCATCATAAATATGAATCAGTTGCCAAGCATCTGAGTATTGATCACATGACCATGGGGATACTACAACAGTCGTAAGTGTGAAAATAGCCATAAGTCACTTTTTCCAGTGCCTTTCTAACTCTGAAGGTCACTCAATGAACTTTTGTAAATCGAGGACTACCTGTACTGTTAGTAATTTATTGGATTTAGATCTCATTTTTTCCAGCCAAGAAGATTGTCAAAGAAGTTTACTATGAAGGAAAACCTATTATTTGCAAAAGGCAGTTTAAAAGCAGAGTTAAAATAATACAGTATACAAGCTACAAGTCAATAATAATAGTCTAATTCTTATATGTTCAACAGGTGAATATCTGTAGCCATGTCCTCATCAGCTCAGATTGCAGATTAAGTAGATTTGTGCATGGGTGATCTTCATCTTTGCACCATTTGGAAATTTTTAATACACTCATACACGGAAAGATATGAAATTCATTGCCACATCATATAATGATAGCCATTGTCTTAGGGGCCTTAAAGGATTACGCAGATTCAAGGAAAATGCATCTACCCCATTTACTTAAAGGTTGACAACTTTCTCAGGCTACATGTACCCATTAAATGTTGCAAATGTTTAGACCTGAACTGGAAAAGTCCAGATTCAAGTTCATTTGTCCACCATGGAAATTTACTAACTAACCTCTCAGCCCAACCTACCACAGAGAGTTGAGCAATTAAATAACATCCCTTATACATTGCCTCCTGAAGAAAAAAATGGAAATAAAGCTAACAAATATTTTGTGACCTTATGAAATGCCAGCCATTCTGGATAGTGTATTGGTTGAATTTAAAATTAATGTTGGGAACTTTCATTTTTGCAGATAATTGGATATCCTTCCAAGATATTTAAAACAGCATTATTCAAACATATCCCCTTCCACCTCCATTACAATTGATCACATTAGAAGAATCATGAATGGACTCCATAACAGATAATTTGACCTTGCTTTTTCTTTCAAAATGTCTGAGAGAGATTCTAAGAATAGGATAATTTAAAATATTTGCACACTCAAAAACACACTTATAGTAAATATCAGAGGCACACTATGCATTGTTTCTCACTCAGTAGTTGTTAGTTGCGAAGTCATGTCTGACCCATTGCAACCCCCTGGACAACATTCCTCCAGGCCTTCCTGTCTTCTGCCATACCCTGGAGTCCATTTAAGCTCATGCCTATTGCTTCAGTGACTCCATCTAGCCACCTCATTCTCTGTCATCCCTGTCTTCTTTTGCCTTCAATTGTTCCCAGCATTAGGCTCTTCTCCAGTGAGTCCTTCCTTCCCATTAGGTGGCCAAAGTATTTGAGTTTCATCTTCAGGATCTGGCCTTCTAAAGAGCAGTCACGGTTGATCTCCTATAGGACTGACCAGTTTGATTGCCTTGCAGTCCAAGGGACTAGCAGGAGTTACTCAGTAGTTCAGATCAAAAGAAAAACCTCTGATGATGTGATGTACTATCAGCAAACCATGGGACTCTGTATGTTATCATAGCCAAGATAAAAGAAACTTAGCTTAAGGCAATCATTTGCCAATGCAATAAAGTAGGAAGTGACCCTTGTTATGGAAGCTATTTGGAAATATTAAAAGAAACAAAAGAAAAGTATGATGTGGAAACAAGTATGGCATCTTGTAAAATAACCAACTTGTCAAATGTTTGTTAAATATCCTTGCTCTAAGGAGCTGAAAGTACCATAGGTATGAATGTCTGAAAGGAAATTGTTCTCACAAGCGAAAGAAAGCAAATATCAAGTAACAAAGGAGGAAGGTTTGAAGCCCAAGGAAGACTGTGGGAAGCAGAGGTGGTATTCAGCCAGTTCTGACTAGTTCCGGTGAACCGGTAGCAGAAATTTTGAGTAGTTTGGAAAACCAGCAAATACTGGCTGTGCCCTCATCTATTCGCTGTGTCCTGAGTCTCAGCTGATCAGCTGGGTCTTCTTCTGTTGCAATGCACAGGAGAACAGACTGGAAAGCAGGTTAGTGGGGTGGGGAGGGAATGGGGATTTTACAGTATTCTTTCCCCTGGAGTAGGGTGGAAATGGGCATTTTACAGTATCCTTCCATTCCCACACCCACCAAGCCACACTCACCAAGCCATGCCACGCCCACAGAACCGGTAGTA